AGCACTTTCCCCCTCAGTAAAGGCATCATCAATAACAACATTTACAGATTTCAAGGCACTCTGAGTACGCAAGTTGTAAACTCGGTAGGCTCTACTGTTCTTAGAATATCCTAGAAAAATCCCATCATCATGTTTGGAATCAAACCTGCCTAGATTTTCTATATCCCTCAGAATGTAACACTTGCTGCCAAACACCCGAAAGTATTTAACAATAGGCTTCTTCCCTTTCCAGATCTCATAGGGAGTCTTGTCTGATTTCGGTATCAAGTATACCCTATTTACTATGTGGTACGCAGTGTTAATAGCTTCACCCCAAAAATGCATTGCCAGAGCCTTGCCGTGAAGCATAGCGCTAGCCATTTCTTGAATCACTCTATTCTTCCTCTCAACAACTCCATTTTACTGTGAAGTGATTGGTGAAGAGAACTCATGCTTAATCCCCTCCTCCAAACAAAAGTTTTCTAGATTGAAGTTTTCAAATTCTTTCCCATGATCACTTCGAACCCTAGAAATAGAAAGATTTTGTTTAACATTGAGTCTTTTACATAAGGACTTAACCAGATCACCCATCTCAGATTTTTCTCTTAACAATTCAATCCAGGTGTATCTGGAAAAGTCATCTACCACAACTAGAACATACAATTTGCGTCCTAGGCTTTCTACCCTAGATGGTCCCATTAAATTCATATGGAAAAGCTCTAAGTGTCTATTCGTTAAGATTTTCGAAGTTCGCTTATGGTTCATCCTGAGTTGCTTTCCTTGTTGACACGGCTTGTATATAACATTCTCACTTTGATCAATCTTAGGTAAACCATCGACAATCTTCTTTTTGATCAATTTAGACATACTTCTGTAGTTAACATGACCGAGCCTTTGATGCCAAAGTTCAGACATATCAATTTTAGCACTATTGCATACATAGTTCGAGTTTGGAAGAACTCCATAACAGTTATCAGATATTTTAACACCTTCAAAAACAACACCACCAGAAGCGTCATAAACAGTGCATCTCATTTGGACAAAACTCACTTTATAATCAGCATCACAGATTTGACTAATGCTCAATAAGTTGGACTTAAGACCCTCTACATAAAGTACATTGGATATTGTAGGAAGTCCAGCAATGGTGATGGAGCCTTTACCTCGGATGGGTGCCGTAGCTCCGTCCCCAAAGGTAACTACACCACCGTTTCAGTTATCAAAGGTAGAGAATAAGGCCTTGTTACCACACATGTGTCTAGAACAAGCCCTATCAAGATACCACATGCATGTATTTTGAGCCTTATATGCAACAAGAGCAATAAAACATTTTAGATTCTCAGTATACTCACCCACATCAGATTTCTTTACCCAAGCTTTTCTCGAGGTCGAGATGATCCTAGTCAACCTTGTTACTATCTCAGTTAATTGTCTAACCTGATTTGAAAGGAAGTTCACTTGACTAGTGATATCCTGACTTCGATTCCTATTTGCTAGCTTTTGACACCTAGGTCTCGTGTGGCCTAAGGCACCACAGTGATGACAAGTGTGTATGAACCTAGGTTCAGATGCACGTGAGTATTGACCATGAAAATTAGGTGTAGAAATCTTAAGAGCTCTAATGGCCTTAAGTCCAGTGAAATTTTTGTCTTTGGATTCTGAATTTGTTGAAACATTAGATCTGTTGGAAGCGGGGACAAATGTGGTCTTGGATAAACTAGACACATTGCTATCACTCTTCACAAATCCTAAACCTTGCATATTTCCAGCTGGTTTGTTCATTCCTAACAGATCATCTAGTTTCTTAGTTCCACTCACAAATAACTGTAGATGAGTGCTGGATTTCTCTAATTCACAAGTCAATGTCTTGACCCTGTCATCTAATTTCTCATTGACACATTTCAACTCACTGAGATTCTTAGATGAGATTTGAAGATCATAGGTGGTTTTCTCCTACTCTCTCTCAAGCTCGTCTACCTTCTTAAATAGGGCTTTATTTACCTTTTTTATCTTGAGACTTTCCTTAACCAGAAGTTGATAAGCCTCATGTATATTCGTCTCATCCTCCGAATCATCACCGGACTTGTTACTCTCCACTTTCTCCTCAACTTTCTCACTCTCCTTGTCTGATTTGCTCTTGACAGTAGATACAAAATCCATATAGCCCTTTTCCTCCTCACTGCTTGAGGAATCACTTTGTTCACTTGAATTAGAATCATCATCAGTCAAGGACACAGCTAACGCCTTGCTACTCCCCATCTTTAGATTTTACTTAAAGTTAGGACATTCATTTCTATAGTGCCCAAATCTCTGACACTCATAACACCTAACCACTTGAGATTTTTTACCAGGGTTCCTAGCAGTTGATTTATCATCCTTCTAGGCTCCTCTCCCTTTCTCTTGAAGCCATTTTTTGCCCTTTAAGACTTTCTGAAATTTTTTCACAAAGTAGGCAATCTCCTCATCTCTAAGAGTTTCCACGTCAGATGACTCAGACTCCCCTTTCCTAACAGTATTCAGGGCTATGGACTTGTTTTTCCTCGGTTGTGAAATGGTGAGTTCATAGGTTTGAAGGGATCCTATGAGTTCTTCTATCTTAATTGTATCCAGATCCTTGTTTTCTTCAATAGCTGTAACTTTAGGTCTAAATCTCTCGGGTAAGGATCTAAGAACCTTCCTCACAATTTTGTGTTCGGGAATCCTCTCACCTAGATTGAAACTAGAGTTAACAATGTCATTCAATTTGGCATAGAACTCATCAAAAGATTCATCATCCTTCATTCTGATTTTTTCAAACCTTGAGGCCAGCATTTGCAACTTAGAATTTTTCACAGTTTTAGTTCCTTCATGCGTTGTCTCAAGAATGTCCCATACCTCTTTAACAGTCTCGCACATTGACACTCTTCTAAATTCTTCAGGAGATACAGATATAAATAATGCATGGAGACTTTTACTATTCCATTTGCATTTAGCCAATTCATCCTTAGTCCAAAGGGAAATGTCAGTTGGGGTTACAACACCCGACACAGTTGTGGAAGGAGGTTTCCAACCATTTTTGTACACTCACTAGACATGCTCATCTAGGGACTTAAGAAACGTACGCATTCTAACCTTCCAATAGGCATAGTTGCTTCCGTCAAAATACGGAGGCACAGAGGAATCCACTATAAACGAAAATGAAACTTACAATCAGACAGACTTAACCTACACTGGTTTTTCTGACATCCTGACCATAGTTTCCTCAAAGCCTTCTTGGAATGCGTGATCCTGCACCAACTCTCGGCACCTAGCCCTCCTGAATTGCGTGCTACACCAATTCCCGGCTCTTGATTTTGTCTATCTCCTATGGATTCAAGAGAATCGCCTGTTCTCTAATGATTGGGACTCCGATCTCCTTCCTCGATCTCCAAGAATCAATGAAGGCTCTAGAAGGTTGTGTTGTAGTGTTTGGTGAATGTTGATTTGATATTTTAATGTAATTGCTCAAATCAAATATGAGGTTGAATAAGAGGATCAAAGTGTGGAGATTTTTCTTCAATTTCAATCCCTTGAGAGCACAACTAAAAATCGGCGCAATTTGACTTATATGTAGTGTATTTGGATCTTTTGGTAGGGTTAAAATGTCGAAAAAAGAAAAATAGAGTTTTATGGGTAACATTGTCGCTCGAGCGAAAAGCGAGCGACGCTGTTTCGTTCGAGCGAAGTGGGGGTGAGAAGCGAGCGACGACCTTTCTGTTTTTGTTGCTCGAGCGACCGCTTGATGAGTAGCTAGAGAAACTTCAACGACACATCTTGCCCTACTTCATAGCTGCAACTGAGTCCCTCATCTTTTACACATGTATACGATGACCCCTAACCTTTAACTATTGACAAATTGACCCCAAACTTTGAACTTTTACAATTTTACTCTTTTGTTCACAAAATAGCCAATACGAAATCTAACACCTTGGTGCTGTGAATTCAATTAGCAGTAAATAGGATCTCAACATTTTAAATGATCGTATTTTTAAATTTGTTCACTTTTAAACTGTATGTCACCAATTTTCCCCTTCAAATATTTAAAAAAATTCTTTACACCAACCCAACTACAGTGCTGTGCTTAATTATCCTTTTTCTTTTACCAACATGCGTTATCTCAAGTCCACTCTAGTATGTACAGGCCATTGCCCATAATAGCTTCTCAGTGTTTTAAAATGCACACATGCTTCGCACGTATTCATATATGTTCGATGTTTTTTTCGAAACGTCTCGCATATGGGGTATGCGTGTAATAATACTACAATCCATTAAAAAAATTAAATTAAGTCCAAAAGACATCAAACTAATCCAATCCAAATCACCAAAGCCCGTTAATTATATAAAGCATTTTGTAGGGTTTGATGTTAAAAAAATAAAAACAAAAACAAAAATCATAACAAATTTTTTGTAGAGTTGCAAACTATCTAAGTCCAATCCGAGTCTTCTTCTTCGATCTTTCTCTAGTTTTACTAGCAAGTGATGCTAGTAATGAGGAGGCTAATAATGATATCCTATCATCTACAAAAGGTGATAGAAATTCTCGAGTTGAAATAAGGAAGTTCGATGAAGATAATTTTACATCGGATGATACGAAACATGACTTAGATGAGAGGAGTTTGAATTGAAATCCGATAAATAGTTGGAAAATGTTTAGAATTTTTTAAGTCGATATTTGTGTTTAATCTAATTGTGTGATTTGATTACAAGTAATTGTTGTATTTATGATATTGAACATTATGTCTTTGTTAAAAAATTGAAGAATATGTATAAAGTTCAAATAATTATAGTATTTATGATTTTAAGCAATTTTTATTTTTATTTTTTAAATTAAAGAATTTATATATAGTCCAAAAAATGCATCATTTTATTTATTTATTAATTTAGAATATTTAAAATAATATAAAAAATTGAAAAATGTATAATTACGTATATGTTTCGCACTTGTAATATTTGATGCTCGTTCGGAGCGCATTATTAGAACGCTGCTAAATGTACAAACTGTGTAATTTACCACAGTAGGGAATACCTCAACATGAGACATAATTGAAGCGGTCTACAACATTCGATTCTCCCATCTCCATGGAAGACCTTCCTCCACCGCTGCTCCTCGAGATCCTGAGTCGTCTCGGAGATTCGGAGGACTTGGCTCGGTGCCGAGTCGCTTCGAAGACCCTGAACTCAATTGCTCGTGATATCCGATCCATTAATCTCCAGTGTTCCTATGATAGATATACCAAATCGCGTTCTCCTCATACCCGCTCCTCGATCACGCCTTTCAAGGAGATTTTCATTAAACTAATCTCCAATTTGGAAATCGTCGAAAGCGTTTCCATGGGCGTTGAGAAGCCGCTCCGGTATGGGGCGTACGATGATACGGAGGATGAGGAGTCTGATTTGTACTTGAGTGATGAGACTTTTTCTATGGAGTGGTTGCCAAAGGTGTGTAGAGAACTGAAATCGATTTCGATATCGGATTTTTGGGTTCAGTCTTGCTGGCGCCGATCCGATGTGCTATCCGTTATTTCTTCCCATTGTGAGCCTTCATTTTCCCCTCTAAATTCTAATTTCTGCGTGTCTGTGGGAATAATTCTTTCTTGTGCAATAAGTTAGATTAATATTTTTTTGTGTATAATTTGCAATTTTGCATGGTTAGTGCGGTTTTTGAGTTAATTGAATTGGAATATTGATGTATGCAGCTGATTTTGTGTTTTATGTTAATATCCCCAGCAGTATGTGCATTTTGGTAGTTCTTCGGTAATTCCAGTTTAGTTTAGAAGTGGGATAATTATTAATTAGATTCATTGAGAAGTCTCAAGAGTTATATGGATGATTGAGTACCATATAACTTGGTAGGATGATCTGATGTTTCATATTAAGCACATTATTGCATTTCAATTAAAATCTTGTATTCATACATATGCAGGTCTTAATCTTTCAGATTTAGATGTCAAGAATGCATGGCTATCGGTTGATGGCCTAAATCCAATGCCAAACCTCACAAGTTTGACACTTGAATTCATTAGATTGGATGACGAGGACTTGAACAAGATCAACGAATCTTTCCCTTCATTGCAAGATCTTAATTTGATTGGGGTGGGAGGACTTAGAGAACCCAGGATTCATCTCATGCACCTCAAAACATGTCAATGTATAGTGTCTAATGCTCCAAATTCATTAGCCATCATTGCACCCAATCTTGTTAAGCTCAAACTTGTATGTGTGAAGCCAAAGCTGCTTTTGATTGAGACTCCATTGTTATCTGATCTACATCTCTCTATTGAGACTGCTGGCAACTTCAAGGTGAAAAACTTACATGACTTGAGAAAGCTTCATCTTGAATCTGCTGGCCTCCGCAACCTACTTGGTACATTTCCTTTTGGTAAAACAGTTAGGAATCTAACTGTCGTCTCAACAAGGTGGGAAGTGCCAGTTGGTATATCTAAGTCCACCTTTGAGTTGTTGCTTAATGTTTTCCCGAATGTAAGCTCTCTCACTTTGACCCCTGGGGCTTGGTCAGAATTTGAAACATATCCTGGCCTGGGTGGTTTAGAATCCAGGCATCAGATGAAGGAGTTGAAAATAATAACTGCTTATTTAACAGTGAACGATATTGAGATGACAATATCAACCGTTTTCTCTATATTGGAGAATTGTCCTAAACTGTCTGACATGGCATTGCTGATACACCGTGATGTAGTTTCTAATGTCACCAACAACCTTATTTCAAGATGCATGGCGCATTGCTCTAGAATAAGATGGAAATGGGGTCTGTGGAAAGAAGAAACAAAAGATGCTTGGATAACTGATGGTATTTAGCGACTTTGAGTTTGCAGTGTGTGGCATATCTGTCAAACCTCCTTTTCAGGCTGATTTGAGACGTAAAGATGTGCTATTTTTCTTTGTTGTCAACTTTCTCGTATGTTCCTAAAGAATAAACGAAATATTCATCGAATCAATGCTGTTGAATTCAGGAGAACCATTTGATTCCAGGAAACGTGAAAGGCTCAGTCATGCATTTCTGAAGAGGTACACAACTTGGTTAAAAGTAGTGGATCATTGTGTTAACGTTAGCTTTAGCCAGCGTTTGGATGCTGAAGATTGGAATTAGGTCTGTTCTCTATGCTTTTATGCCATGTATATATATTTTCTGTTTACTGCCAATTATGTAAGCTGTGATTCATGTATATAGCGTTTTCCTTTGTTTTAAATGGAAATGTAAATCTATTTCAATAATATATATAAATATTTCACTTGGAAATGTGAATGGAAGTTCGATAAGATGTATATCATTGTACAGAGTTCTGTTGGCGAATGAAAATGGCGGGCACTCGACAGATTGTATAATATATCGAGACACGAGTTGCTTTAATTGATTGCTTGTGACAACTTATTTCAGCTGGGCTAATGACAAATAAAAAACGAAGAGCAAGAAACAAAATTTTCTGATGCTCAATAAATACATGGGGCGTTCCGAGAATCGAACTCGGGACCTCTCGCACCCAAAGCGAGAATCATACCACTAGACCAAACGCCCAGCTTGGAACCACAAATATCTTTAAAATATTTGTGCTGCTTTTTCCCAAATGACTACTAAACCAGTTCTTTGATGTTCTGCAAGCTAGCTATAGCCCGGATGGTTTGTGTTCTTTTTTGTTATATAAAACATAGATATTCTTAAGAGCTCTTTGACGCGAAAACAAAAATAGTACCCTGTACCCACGTCTAAATGAATAAGAGAAGATGAGAAATCCATTGTGTCTAATTACCTCTAATCTAGTCCCCATTTGACCCTTTTTTTTTTTAAATGAAAATGCGTGAAAGTTTTTTTTTGAAAAATAACTAGATGAAAAAGAATGAAAAATTTTCGATTTACGTGTAATATTATTTTATGAAAAATTGTGTGATTAAAAATAGGAGACAGAAAAATGAAAATTAATTTAATGAGTACCAAACAGGGGGCTAATCTTTCGGAAAAAAGAACAGAAAAATTTGCATAGAAAAAGAAAAACTCGTTGATACCAAAGTATTTGGAAATGCTAGACATTTTTTTTATAAAAAAATTGCCACCCCTGTTCTGGGTTAAATTTGGAACCAAACATAAACGAGGCTGATTTCTTACTTCAGTATCCATTCATTCTAAACGCCAATACCAGTGGCAAATTTGTCTTCATATTTTTTTCATAGTTGAATTCCTATAACAACTGTACAAATCACTTGAGCATGCTATTCTTTCTACCCAGGAAAAAAATAAGTTTATAGTTATACACAACTCTACTTCCTTATGTTATACATTGTCATAATTGCCCCCAGGGCACATCTCCAAGTGGTAAAAGGGGAGAGTGGAGAAATCCAGTTTTGCTTGAGGCTACTGCGTCAAGGATTCGAATCCTGAAATATGGATTTGGCTCTTGGGTAAGTGCAAGTGTACAAGCAGTCTTCCACCCTGTACTCTTGAAGGCATAACCTGCGATTTACCTCCCTCACGCTACTCCAGGGCAGGAGTGGTGGGAGACCCTTAAGGTTAGGGTTTAACCTTTTTTTTTTTACATTGCCATAATTGTTACACATTGTTCTGATTACAATCCAACTCTTCAAAGATTAAAAAACTGAAACATCCTTTACCATGAAAGTCGGTCAATGTTGGCTTCCTCGATTACACAGTTGATAATCCTAAGTACTTCTTTGAGTAAGCTCATAATCTATAGATAGGAAAGTAGGCTAGCTGAGCGTAATCACATGCACATGTCAATGACTAGATTTGCAGTATAAAAAGGAAGT